ATTGAAGGAAATGGTTTGGTGCAAACCAACTCTCCTGGCTGATCTCTCACTGGATTCCCTGCAGGTTAAGAAATGATTCTGTCATCAGATCAACTCTTCAGCAGCAGGCATGTTGAGACACATGCAACATACAATAATTTTATGCTTTTCAATACCAACTTAAACTGAACTGCCGCATGTACTCAAGTACCACACACACCTTTTTTCTCAAAGTGAGAGGAAAAAGGGATGAAAGTCACAGGCATTTTCACAAAAATGATTGAAGATGAAAAGATCATGTTTCACTTGAGCTCATGAAAATTTTCTTTCCTCAATCAATAGCAATATTTTTGAAATGGCCAGATGATCCCCGTAGTTTTACAAATTCTTATTACTTATTAGGCTGAAAATTTTTCATAGTTATTAACTTAAATTCTGAAATTGAAAAAGAAAAAAATTGAAATGTCATTCTAGTTTTGCATATTTAGGTCATCACAATAACTTCTACACAAGCAACTTTTTGCTAATAGAGGTGGACTCTCTCAACAACAAAATTCAAGGGGCCAGAATGAATTATTTGTGAAGAAAACTTTGTAACATTGCAGAGACCCCCTACAACATGGGGAGAGAACCCAATGGGACCAAACAAAAATTCCTTTGGAGAAAATTGTTGTTAGCAAGAATCATCTTAGAGTGTCCACCCATGTTTTACTGAGGCAATAATATTTTACTGAGAAAAATGTTTTACAAAAAACAGTCCAGTATTGGTATTTTACCATGCAGAAACTTCTCATGCTGCAAAAAATACTTACCTTGTTCATCAAAACACTCCACAGCCATTCCAAGACCCCTGCACTGGATCAGGCCTCTATAAACAGGCAATGTAGGACATCCAGCACCAAACAAGGAAATTATATCTGATCCCCCTGCAAAAAAAATATACAGTAGTTATTCAAAACCAAAATGTTTCCAATTTAAAGAAAAAATAGCATCGCACCTGTTATGGAGGACAGCATCACATGACTTTTGACTTTTGCATACACAAAATCATAAGAATGGGGACTGAGAGGTGACCCAGTTGTCAAAATAGCCCTGAGTGAGATCAGGTCATGAGTTTCTCTAGGGTGGATGCCCTTGTCTTCCATCATGGACACCATTTTGGCACTTAACCCCAAAACAGTCACTTCTGCAAACCAAAAACATTGGAGATACAGTACATGGCGTGTCAAGAAGTGCCAAAAAACATTTAATTGCACTCACTGTGGTGGTCAACAATATCCCAAACAATGGTTTCCTTTGGAGAAAAGGAAGACCCATCATAACACACAATTGGACATCCCAAAGCAAGTGCTGAAACTTCCCAATGCCACATCATCCAGGCTGCCTTTGAATAATTTCCACAATCAAGAACACTTACAGAATATTAGCAAAAAAAAATTTCATCTCAACTTACAGTGGTGTAAAACATCAACAAATCTTTCCTGGTAAGATTGAAGTGCATCTTCAGCTCTTTCAGATGCTGGATCAAAGTGCCCTGCACAAGAAAAAGGATACATTTTTTACTCCAAACCACATGTTGCACAATCTTTTGCAAGGTTGGTTCATGAGATTTGAGACTTTTTGAAATACACTGGATCCAACGGAGTTTCAACAATTCCTCATACATTTTTTTTACTTGCATACCCTCATCATTCAAGAACACTTCAGCACTGTTCCAAATTCCTTTTGCCAATTTAAACATATATTTTCATGCAATAAATCCAATTTTCAAAACAGTGCAAAAAAGCAAGTTCTGCTAATTGATTTGCTGGCACCCTGTGACTTCTGGCTGTTCTCAACAGCGAAGAATGGCCTGAAAGGGATGGATTTTGAACACAGGGGCATCCTCATTCCTGCTATTAAAGAGCAGCTTAATCAGCCAACAGAACTTGATTTTTGGCACTGTTTTGATTGTTGGATACATTGCAAATGCATTGAAAGCAGTGTAGAATATGTTGAACAGCACTGAAGTGTTGCAAAATTATGGGGCTATGCAAGAAAACAATTTTTTTGGAATTGTTGAAACTGTTGTATGTATTTAAAAAAAAGTCTGAAAACTTATGAACCAACCTTTGTACACAGTACTTACACCAACAGAATGCACTAGACATTTTGGCCTTCCTGTGGTTCCTGAACTGAACAAAACATAGACAGGATGGTTGAATGGTACTTGCTCAAATTCCAGAGTGGTTTGCTGCATGTGGCTCCCCAAGAAGTCCTTCATGAACAGGCTTTATAAAACATACAAAAAATTGTAAATATAATTAAATCAAATACGCTAGTGTTTTACTAACCTTTTAGGGATGTTCTTGATATTAATTTCAGCTTCTGGGCGCAAAAAAGGCACAACCACAATGACATCAAACTTCATCATTTTTGACACCTTCTCCACATTCAGTAAATTGTCATGAACCTTCTGGTTGTATCTCACAGCTTCAACAGTGAAGAGTACCTTTGGTGCAACTGACACCAGTCTATCAACAGTTCCCTGAAGAAAAAAAATCAACACAATCCTGAGTCCCTTCTTCCTCTAATATGATTAAAAAAGGATTAATCTTACTGTGACACCAAAATCAGGAGATGTACAGCACCACACAGCACCAACTGCAGCCACCCCAAGCATGATGGCAACTGTGTCAGAACAATTTGGCAAGTAACCAGCCACATGGTCCCCTTTCTTAATCCCAACTGCTTTCAGGGCTGATGCAATCTGAGTCACTTGTTGGTACAACTGGGCAAATGTCAACTTCACACCTTCTATTTGTCCTTCAACTGAAAAATAAAAAACCCAAAAAGGGGTTGAATTTGGGATACAACCAATAACAACAAACAAAATGTTCAGATTATTAGTGCCATATAGTGATATAGTCCTATAATACAAACAAAAGAAGTTTATAAATAATCCACTGATTTCACATAAAAAATTATGAAACTTTCACTGTTTTAGTTTTCTGGAATTCCTAAAATTGAGGATTCAATATTTCCAACAGGACTCAAATGCAAATTTTGCAAAAAAAATGTTTGGCAATTTCATATAAAAACAGGGACATTTTCGGCGAATTTTTTTCAAAATTTTTGAGGAAATCAACAGGAACCGGGTTCAGTTAAATTCTATGGAAACATTTTTGATGACAGAAAATGCCATAAAATTCTAGGTTCTCCCTTTTCAAGGTCTTCACAAACACAAGAACGATTTTTTTCGAATGCTTTCACTTTAAATGTATTATATTCGGGTTTTTGCAAATGAGAGGGCACTCGTAGTTAAACAGAAATTTGATTTTCTTAAACGAAATCCTCTCGACAAAAAAATTAGTCTTTGTTCACAATTAATAAAAATCTGCGTTTCGTCTGATAGGAATTAACGGTGTTTTTCAGGGCGATTGGCCAGGCTTTGAGAAAAACGTACAAACATACCTATGGAAATGATGGCAGGTCTGTCATCCCGGAATCTGAGTAAGTTTTCAGCAAAATTCAACTGGCAGCCCTGAAACCATTCAGGAACTTCTTCCATAGGAGCAGCCGTAAGAACCTTGTCATGATGTCTGCTGACTATTGGGTCAAGATAATCCCAGGTTTCAGACCAGAATGCTTCCAGCTGATCAACACTCCATTGATACAGGTCTTCATAGTTTTCTTAAAATGAAGGAAATAGATTTTTTTAAATTGAAGATACTGCACCTTCAGCGGAAATTATAATTGATTTTTTTCTATTTGCCAGGGCACAATTGAGGTACGCCATCTACCGCAAGAAGGGAGAAAGCATCACAGGGTATGCTGCCAACATTGTACGATAGGTGACGCTGGTATCCTAGCACTTAATCACAATCAATCTAGCGAGTTACGACTGAAGAGTTGATTTGGATGAAGATCGAGTTACCTTCCAAATTAATCGTCTCGCCACAATCAAGTTCAACGGCAGTGACACCTAGGAATGCTTTGCTCTCGGATGGTCGAAGGTTGGAATAATCGAACAGGAATATGCAAATTTTCTGCGCTTTACGACCCTCTGCACCCTTAATGCGAAAAGTGCTTTACATGATGTTCATTTGAACGAAGCATACGTCGGACGAAAGATTGAGTTGGACCGAATCTAGCTCCGTATCTAACTCTAGCAATAAGTTAAGCCATTATCAAACGATAAACCGGATTTATTGTATGGCCAGGGAAACGCCCATGAAAAACAGTTTTAAGGAAGTACTCACGTAGATCTGACCTGTATTTCAGGTTTATCCTTTCCCGGAATTCATCAACGAATGCATGTTTGAGACTTAATGGATCAGGTTTCCAAAGCAAGTCATAAGCACGAATTCCCGAAGGAGCACCTTTCAAATCGATCTCGTTCAGCATGGAACTAGATTTTAGGAGCTAGGAGTCTGGCTCCCTCCAAGCGGGATAACTCCAAACTTTACGCTCGCCGTAACACAATCGCCATTGAATATAGACTTCCTGCGCGAAAAGAAGATAATTGGTTCGAAAAGTCATCAGGAAGTGCCAACTTCGTGCTTAGCGGAACGGTCGACCAACGTGAAGGATTTGCGAAATACAGCCCTATTTCTTGGCGAAGAGCCAGAGAACACCCGAAATGAACCAAATGAAGGTTCGATAATCAGAAAAGCCTAAGAGAAAGTGCTAAAAATAGTGTTACATTGATTCCAAGAACGTCTCTACCGTACAGGCTTCGATTATTGATAGCAAGTGTCCGAGAAGGTTCAGAACGAATCGTTCTCGCAATTTGTTCACAAGAACATAGCAAATGAAAGACAGCGAGTTTCACTACTGAAAATCAATACAAGTCGAATGGCGTACTTTTAGGTAAAAATCAGTGAAAAACGGGATCTGAATGACATTTGATCGAAAATATCACGTGCGAATCAGGCATTACCAATTTACTCGGCTTCGAAGCACAAGATCATTGAAGGAATGCATCCGGATTAAGCTCTATCCACGAACTTCTGCCAACCCATTCCTACATGATCGCATATTGAGAAAAATTCACTTCCAACGAGGCATCCTAACTCGCCTAAGTTCGCTCACGGTAGCAAGTGAGAGCCCCAGAAACATCACTTCAAGATCGCAGCCGGCTTCTTCAACTAAAATTAAATTAACAATTAAAGATGCAGGATGAAGTGATCCACGAATGCTCAATTAGAGACTATCGCCGCAATCAAATCGAATTAGCCCAACTTTCACACCACATCTCGATACGTGCCACTAAATCTCGAGCTGTCTTTGTTTATTCAGCGGTTAGCACTCGTGCGGCAAGCTGGCTCGCAAGATCAAGTCGAATCAGTTAGCAGAGGACGAGGAGGACTTTGATTTACGAAACTCAAGCGGCACCTTCGCGGTGAGAATCGAAACAGGTGAGGTTACCGGTGAGGGAATGCAGATCAGCTGGCACTGAACTATGAAACCGGCGAAAACACAAGAGAGCGGACGCAATTCTTCCCTGCTCAGTCGAGCGGTCACTGCCTGTTCTCCTAATCTCCAAATTACTACCGTTTCCGATTCCATTATCCGCTGGACATTTTTCCCGGAGAACAAGGAAATGAGCGAGCTTCACATGCATTCCATCTAATACTGTGAAATAGAAGATAATCATTTACAACGAGTATAGAGGACCGACTAAATCCGATGCGCGCGCAACGGAAAAATGAATAGGACCGGCGGTTGCTCAATGGTTACTGAGGCTGTGAATTGGTGGAAAGCTTCACACCAGTTGAAACTGAGAACAAAATATTCGCTCTTCTGAAACTTCACTCTTGCTTTATTCAAATAGTCCACGCTAACTTCGAGCTTTACATCTCAAAACTCCGCCGCCGCACTTCCGTTCATCGAACACTCCCTTACATTGCCCAGAAACCCATGTCTCACTCGAAATACGGTATGGTAATCAATAAATTAGGAAAGTAAAGTAATTCGCGTGAATAATTGATATGGTACATTATGCTAAGCATATCCATTCGTTTTGATAAATGCATTCTATCTTTCTTGACCGCAAGAATTACTACGATCTACCGGCATCCTTCAGAGCTCGTAATACAGTCAGTTCTGAGGTGTCAAAAGGGTCCTTTTGTCCGTCAGTGGATTCATAAGCCTTGAGGGAACCATACAGAGAAAATCCCATCTGCAAATGCACATGAAATTGTGAAAAAGTATACATGTAGATGCATTTGATAATTTGAATTATGAAATTCGTGGAACAAACTTCTCCAATCTCCCGGATTGGGCAAGTCGATAGCGACACCTGCCAGTAAACTGGTTAAAGCTCTCTTCTCCATGAACCTGCTCTTGCTGCTGAGCTCATCAACAGGTGGGGGCAGAATCTGCTCAAGATCATTCAAAGCCATTACTGCATTCAAAGTGACTTTTCCTCTTGCTGTCCTGGCAATTTCTTGACTAGCTGTCATTAGGGTATTCAGAGCCTCATCTGACATTATTGCCATCAGTTTATCTTTTTCAGGCATGGAGAATAAGAGTGCAATCCTGGGTTTGGTCAATGTAGGCAAAGCATATTCTGACACCTGGTGCTTCATCTTTGTCACCATGTCAAAATCTGTTGAAAGAATGATATTACATCTACAGGATATTCATCATATGGTCTTATATATATAAGTGCAAAGACTTTTCATACCAATTCCATTTTCCATGTCATGAGTGGTCTGGTTAGTCATTGGCCAGTAAAGAAACAAGTCACCTAACAAAGAAACCAAATTCTGAAATGAGCTATTGAACATTAGAATGACATGA